TCTTTAAGAAGATGATTCACAAACAGTTGCTCCTTTTGGGTTTTGGGCCCGGCTGTTAATTGAAACAAGTGTGATATTCAGATTTTTCTTCTAAACCTGATACTGGGGACAGGCAAAGCAATACCAATACCATTGATACTAACCAATGGTACATAAGAAATGTACACATGGGAGATGTACTATGGTATAAAGAAGACAATATACAGGTGTGGGAAGACCTCAAGTTGACCATAATCATGTCCACAGCTTGGAAATTTATTAAAAAGCRTGATCCTACCCAAGATAGGAGAAAAGTATGGATAGCCCTCAGATGTGGGAGTGACTATCTRACWGTGATGTAAATCACCATGTGCTAGTAGAAAAGTGAGTTGATGCTCTTATCAAGRATTGGTGAACTATGAAATCTAAGATCAATCAGAATAAAGATYGTCAAGTGATGTGTGAATCAAATTAGTCSAGTCAGTCACGCAATTGAATTGGATGAATCAAGTCAATCATGTGGATCCATAGGATTGAATGAGTTGTGAACAKAGAGTGTGTATGAATCATAGATATGTGCCATAYATATGTGTTGTAGATATGAATCATACCCATGATCTGATATCCTGCAGACAGCATCAGAAAAGGGGGGGAAGCAAGTAGCTCAAGTGAGATCAGAATTAACAAAGCTTGGAAGATGGTCAGTGATATCACCTAAGACAGAACTGGACATCTGAAAGTATAGATGTAGCAAAGTATCAAAAAGYTTATAATGACCTGGCTGTTGAAAGTGAACCAGTATTGGAAACCAAAAAGGTCCACGACTTCATAGCTAATACCAATGATAGCAGATTGGATGCTGCAAAGAGCTATACATGGAAGCAAGTTACATAAAACAAACTTCACCAAATGTAACCAATACCTACARACATTGCTCACAAGCATGAAGTATGCAGCTGACTTGTCAAATGGTGGTAGCAGCCTCAGGACTGGGAACATATCAAGTACAAACAGCACCACCAAAAATGGAAACAAAGAAGAGCCAAAATTCACAGGAAAGATCAGAGCTAACTATAGATATCCATTCCATGCCATGTATTTGAAAACACTCCTGAACAACATGCTGAACTAGATTGACTATGCAACAATGCAAAGCAAGAACGCAAAACATCAAGTGCCAGCAACACCAGTGGTGATGGGATGAGWAAAAAGTAAGAAAAAGTAGCAGCTGTTTCAACCTACAAACGGAAGGAGAGGGAAGAGGCAGCTGGTGGCTCCTTGGAAGCACCAGATGATACTGATGCTAAGGYCCCTCAYAAATTGTCAGGCCAYAGATTTGGATTTGCTGTACATGCATTAGCATATAAGGAACAGAAGGTTGAGTGATATGCACACACAGTGTGTGCTGTTGATTGTGCGCTATACAGGAGGGGTACAAATGCTATTCAGTRRGCTGKAAAAATATTAAACCAAATAACTGTAACAACTGCAACCAATACAACAAGAGCAGTTCAATATGCAATGTTGCTATAGCAGAGACAGTGAAGGATATGGATATTACCCTTGGTGACAAGGAAAATGGTAACAATACTRTAAATCTGCTGCGTACATTAGCACAAGAGTCAGAACGCAGAGATCACATTAACTGCAGGGACATAAGTGCCATAGTAATCATACAACAAAGCGCAATTGATGCTGATGTGCWAGCAAAATGCTAGCACATTTGACTCAACTTAGAAGGGCACTAGTAGGAACATAACACAGGCGCCATATAGAASATTTAAAWGACAGTCATTCCACCAGAAAAGAACAATACTGGGCAAATGGTACTSTGATGTAATATTCTACAAATGCAAGAGTATAATTAATGGAGATATTGCAGCACAGGTAACAACTACTAATGGGAAAGGATATGGCCCATTTTTTTCAATAAKAACAAAGGTACAAGAAGCACATGATGGATTGATGGACTTAATAAACACAGTAGGCATAYCTGAGCAATTAATAACAGATGGCAGCAAAGAACAAGGAGCGGCAAATGCCACTAACACWCTATGGATGAAGCTACTAGTAAAGAGATACAGGATCAACCAAAYTTACTGTRGRAAGTTTCAAGAGTCAAAATCTACACCAAGCTGGCAACAAATGGCATTTCAATTGTGAGGTAACTTTGAGTAGAAGGTGTCAGAACTTCAAGGAGAAGRTTAGGACAATGACTAATACACAGGAGTAATGAGTCAGTGAGTCATGAGCACTGTCTCTGTGTGTTGTTCAGCCAGCACTGTGGTTCTGAGTAGGTGGTTCCATTAATGGGAAGAGATTGACTACCAGCAGTAGGTAAAAAAAACATCAACACAATCAAATTTGACAATGTTAGCAGATTGGATAGTTCTTGACAGTGGGATGTAGCTGGTGGATTTTGCACAGGACCTGATTTCCTTTTAGGTGTTCTGTTTGCTGTACTGTACCAGTAGTAAATCCTATGTTCTCATTTTTTAGTATTTACAGGAGGTCTTCTTGCAGTACCACTACTAACTAGTAGTTCAAGTTTGAACAAACATTGCTTATTCCAGCAACCTGACTTGTAGACTGCTGACATGGCCAACAATGCCACTAGCAGTACATTCCCTACTACTAAATACTACAAGTAGTAGTAACTACAACAAAGTTACTGTGATCCTGCCACATCCACTTCTTGTTGGAGCAGTCAGTGAATACTGGGCTGTAGTCTGTAGTAGTAGTTGGGAGTCCATTTCTGGTGTTTGCAACCTATGTACTAAGAGTACAGTGCTGGCGATGGCAACAAGAATACTAGTACTAGATGAACTGAAATTACAAAKGGAATAGGTTAATTTTGTAGTCTTGTAGTATCTACTAAGCAAAGTGTGGGCAACATACAACAACAACTACTAGTAGTAGCCTTGGTGCCAGGTGCTTTGGCTGCAGAGACATTGATGTTTTTGTCTAACTTTTTGATGGGATCTGGTGGTAGCAGGGGCGGTGTTCACTATAAGAACAGAGAAAAGTCTAGTTGAAGTCTGATGGTACAGYATGATTGTTCTAAATTGACAATTTTACTTTGCCAGGTTGCCAATAGCAAATACAAAGAGTAGYCTACCAGCCAAGCTAATGCAATCCAGAGACTGAAGTTCATTTGTCACAGATGTGTTTGGAGAAATACAATCMTTGTAATGCGTATAGTAAGAAAAAGACGATGCTTGTAGTGTGGTAGCAATTTTATTAGTAATGCTAGCAGTTCTTCTTCTTATGGTGTTTACTAGTACTCTCATGAGATGCCTTCATCAACAGTGGGGCTGTTGTATGTGATACTGTGCCTTATGAGTGTAGAACAGTAGTACTACTACAATAGGCAAAATTTGAACCTTTACCTTGAGTACTCTATAGTAAGAGTAAAAACAACAGTCTATATGCAAACTGACTACAACCTTGTGGTAATAACTGGTAGTGCGAATTGTTCTGCTTCTACTTTGTATTGTGAAGGCCTTCAACACTTCCCTTTTTTGTTGTGATGAATGCTTTTTAGTTACAAAATACTACTAGTAGTTATRTTATTAAAGTACTGTCCTTAGTGGTAGCTTCAAACTGGGGTTTGGCTGTCGGTTTCAAGTGAGAAATATAACTCGACTCATGGGCAAACGATTTCTCTTATTTGGAATGAGACAGAGTACGTAGTCCTTCTAGCTGGGTGTATTCCAGGTTTCAATCTTCTCGTACATAGCAGGTCGTATAGAAATAACCCTCCAACCCGTTCGGTCGGTTTTGTGCTCTCTAATCACCATCAACGGAGGCCTTTCTGCATCGTCCCCGTTGTCGCCATCGACACTCGTGCGATCGTCCACAGTGTACTCTTGTGCATGACTATCGTTCTCGTCGGCACGAATTTCTTGCAATGAAATGATTTCCGTAGTGGTGGTATGAAACTGTATCAACGGCTCGGTTTCCCCGATCAGAGATTTAGGGTAAATATCGAAACTCTGATGACATTTGATCGTAACGCTAGCCAATCGGACAAGAATATCTATTGTCCCAGGGTGCACCATTCTATCTCGAAACGCCACTGTACTAGTGGGGACAACCTCGACATCTTCTCCTCCAAACAAATCCTTACTAATTTTGTTAGAGAGGAGCAGGGAAAAATCTTGTTAGACAATTCCAGGACAAAACAGAATCTCAATTCATTTGTGTTGTAATCCGTATGATGCCGATGCACTTACACAAAGAAATATGCATCTCCGCCATTCCCAGTCCTGCTTGCTGCTATCAATAATCTCCTCGTGAGTATGTCAATCGCAGACAGGTGCAGTTTCCCCTTCCGACGTCGACGTGTGGGCGACGACAGCTTCATCGTTCGTCCGTTTTCAACAGGAGAGTCCATGGCTAGAGAAGAATCGGAGTTGGAGAGTATAGATGACTCGTTTTCCGAAATGTCGTTAACAATGTCTGTGGTTTGCAAATTCGGCTCAATTGGGTATTGATTGCTTTGCCTTTCGATGGAAGATGCCCMATCCGAGCTCAACTCTGGATCTGGCTGATACGATTGCATAGGTGGAGCTGATTTGGTCAAACGGTCACGGAAACCATTCTTGATTCTTCCTCCTCGTTTCTTCTTAGTTTTTCTTGGGGAAGATGCTGTCAGKGTGCTTGAATTGAGTGTTTGGTTCAACATCGATACCAGTTCGTTGCGACTGGTAACGGGAGGCAATACATGACCATTGACGGTAATTATTTCTCGTCGCAAATCTCGCAAAGCTTGTCGAACCGCACCAGCATTGTTGCAGAGACTGCCCACATTTTCTGCGGTTGCACATAAATTGGGAGGCAGTTCGATCGATTGTAGTTTATTGCTATAGCTATGACAGACCTCCAACAGGTGTCCAATCGATTGGAATTCGACAGTTTTAAACATTTTCCTCATGGAAGGATCCAAGGCACGGATGAGCATCCGTTCTAGCTCACACTCCTTGACCAGCCGCTCCCAGTCTGCCTGCAAATGTTTAAGAAATTTTACTACAAGCGGCGTCAAAACAGAGTCCGCATTGACTTCAGGAGTTGACAAAAATGCCAACGAAGCAAAAGAAGTACGGTGCTCGTATTCGGATGTGATTCGATGAATGACTTTAGTGATATCTTCCGACACRCATTCGACCGCGAGCATCTCCATGGTGAGACAATGGAGAAGACGGGTCAAAACAGGACTGATATTTCGTACGTACGTTGCCGTAGCGACAAAGGCGTTTGTGGTGTATCGGGCACGTGTGCGAATCAGCTTAGGTGATTCCATTGCAATCACACATTCTTCGTTAAGATTCTTGCGTCGCTGGAGTATTCGAATGTAAAGTTCGAGACGAATGACTAAATCCTCCCAAGCAATCTGGGGATGTTTTACCCTGTTAGGATCCGCTGTTTCTCCAATCATGGTCCTTCCCATCTGTTCTGTAAGGGAAGAAATCCTGTGATTGATAGGCATTCGTTTTGGGACACCGAAACCGGAAAGACCATCCTGAAGGGACAGTGCGGAACGCTCTCGTTCTGCCTCCGTAAATTCCCTCTTTCGATCGGATTTCGTAGGTTCCTCTTCTGGTCCTGGCACGGTTAATAAACATCCTGCTATAAAGGCTTCCATCCTAGCTTTCGTTCTTCTAGATAGTGAGGAAAATTCGCTTTGAAAAATGTTTTGCTGTTCCTTCTCGTTTGTTTCTTCTTCTTGGAGGTACTCTCTCCAATCACCTGTAGTACCATCAGCAGAATTCTTTTTCTCCTCTTCCAATTTCGAAGGGTTTTCCGATACTCCAATTGCGTTCACCCCCACTCCACCTGCATTTACTGTCCTGTTATTGTTCTCTATATCTAAAGGCCGTGTTTGCAAAGTCTTTACCGTCAATGCAATCAGCGGAGAGCGGAGGTAGCTCTGGATATTAGAAACGTTGCTACGATATGGATCCAACTTCGAGAAATACCAGCGGGCCACGTCTTGCGCCATAGATCGTGGCGGATTAGTGCTCATGTCTGGCTAGAATTGTTAATGTCGTATGGATATGAAGCTGTTCAATTGCTATGGCACGTTGTCATACGATATTGTTGACGGCTCAGATCATCCTCTGCACTGTCRACAAACCTTCATTGCAGAAGGACAATGTGTTGTTCATTCAAAAGTCACTAACTAATGTAACCGTTGAGCAGCTCAACATTTCCATGTAATCAGCGCGCGTGGTATTTTTTAAAGGTACCGTACATAATTTCTTGAGCAGATCTTACCTACAAACACTAGTTATTTTTTGCGKAAGTACATGCACCTCAACAGGTTATAAATCACACGGACTGAATTTTGTAACCAGAATTTTGTAACCAAACCCTTTCCTAAGGATAGCCCATATTTTTTACATGATAGTACTACTAGTAGTAGTTGTGTGCATGTGGTTTTCAAAAAAAAGGGTCTGGTTACAAAAAAAGTGCACTTGTGCGCTTTTGTGCACATGATGTAGTAACCAGGCTTTTGCACCTCAACAACAGGTACACTACTATGAAGTACAAGAAAGAAAATTATTGGGAATTCACAAGTACTACAAACTCATGTCAAAAATACAAAATACAGTACAGTAGAAATTGCAATTCAGCAACTTGTATCAAATCAGCGCTGGCTCCTCCATATCATATCAGCGGCTCCTCCGTATCAGTGACTTGTAGTATCAGCGACGTGTATCAGCACCCTTTGTAAGCATTGTAGTACTGATCCAACATAGATCTACTAGTTTTTGGTCACTTTTTAGACCACAAACAGTTCAATAAGCTAAAATAGCTAAACACAACAGCTCCAGAAAGGCCTCAAATGAGATCCCCTTTGGGGATATGCTTGATCATAGTGTTAAGAAGAGTGCTGGTGTGTATCATTGTTATCACACAATTATGGGTCAGGAGGGGGGAGCCAGTTCTCCATTAACAGCCGGTATGGCCAAAATTGGCCAGTTCCCAAGACCAGCTGCATAGGAGGAAATAGGCCAGAACTCTATTAAAAACAACTTAAGACCACCCAACAAAGTGCCCAGACCAAGATGATACAATTACTTACAGACCCAGGTCATTGGGAAACCAAAGGATGCTCTACTAGTGGATTGTTAGAACTAGTCCATAAAAGTTACAGTAGTGGGTGGGAAAAATTCAAGCATTAATTTTAGTTGTAATTTTACTCCAGATTAACTCATACCATGTGGTATTGTATGGTATTACAGTAATCAAAGATTATCCAACAATACAACAAAGTGAGGAGTTTGTACTTCTAGTACTGTACAAAATACCCTTTGTATGATAATCAACAACAAGCCACTGGTGCTGGTCTCTTCAGCAGGTCCTGGTCATACCTCAACCAAACCTCCTTKGAGGGAGGTGATGCCCCTTGAAGTGACTAGTAGGAGCATTCTTCTCCTCAAAGGTGATGGTTCTGCTACACC